TTATAAAACTGTAGTTATCCTGCATTGTCTTTAATTTTGTAACTTTATTGGATTAATTGATTAATTGGGCAACATCTCTATGCCTCTGACAGTTATGTTTTGGAAATTAAGACCAATCAGTTATCAGATGAATAAAAGGAAGGAAAATCATAAAACAGCTTTGTGTTTCTGAACTTCTTTAAATACATCCAGTGGGAATGTACCCATTATAAAGCACAATTTAAAATGACAATACTTCAGTAGAGACAAGGGTCAGGAAGATTGCTTCATGGTTCCAAGCCTGCCTCATGAGCTGGGGGAGAAGGTAGCTGGGATAGAGAAGGGATCACTAAGTCAATGATGGTTGGAGAGATGGCTCGGGATGAGAGATGTGTGCTGAAAGTAGATAAAGGACCAAATATGATGGCCTCATAGTATCTGTATTGCAAACCATAAGGCCCCAAAGTAGAGAGAATAAGAAAGAAATTGTCTGCCACAGAAGCAGGGAGTGGGATGGGGTGGGGATTGCAGGAGGGATATTGGGGACATTGGTGGTGGAAAATGTACGCTGGTGGATGGATAGGTGTTCAATTATTGTATGAATGAAACTCAAATATGAAAGCTTTGTAACTGTACCTCATGGTGATTCAATAAAAAATAAATTAAAAATAAAATGACTGTACAATTATTTTTTAGTATCAATCTAATTCATTTGTGATTGCTACTTTTTATTGCTTATCAGACTTACTCATTTTTAAGAAAGTACATAAGGATGAAAAAGATTGGTGACATATTAATTTTATTTAAAAATTTATTATAGTCATAGTAACTTTTCCATGTACATGTTGAATATACTCAGTAAAACTTGTGCTCTAAATCTCTCACAAATTGTTTAAATCAGAACTACATTAATAAAAAGGCACACAGACTGAGTCAGTTTCAATAATTGTCCATATAACAAAAACAGTATTAACTATGGGAATCAGAAAGAGGGAAGAATTTTATAAAATATAGAAAAATCATTGACAAAGTAGATATGAAACATGTATTAGATACATATAATTTTGAAGCACCGAGGTTGAACTCAGGGCTTTGTACATGCCAGGTGAGTGCTCAACAATGTTGGCTAACTCCCTAGCCTGACACGATTGGATTTTAAGTAAATTTTAAAAGTAGGTTGTATAAGAAACCATAAATTTTGAACTTGATCAAAGTTTTAATACCAGTATGAAAGTTCTGGCTTTTGGAAGGATTGCTAAAGTATAAGCAATACTTTTAGATACTTCATTTAAAATGCTTTTCTTTGAAATACTTTGAAGGGATGGAGAATTAAACCATTTTCAACAAAAATTCTGCTACTCAATTTTTAAAATCGCATCTTAAATACTTCAAAACACATGTGCGATACCATGTCCAACTCATTTTAGCTAGTTGAGGTTTTTGAGCAGTTTTTTATAAATACTAATATTTTGTAATCATCAGCAAAATTAAATTTTCCTGCAAAATTACATATGGAAAAGTAACCAATCTAAAATTGAATAAAATACTTTCTCCTATTTCCTTTGGTTCTTCTGTGACAAGAATTTGCTTGTGGATAAAATGTTCATGTCTCCAAGCAACGGCAGGGAAAATTCAATTTTAATTTAAAAATAAAATGGCTGTTTGATATCAACAAAGTGAAGTGTATTTCCAATATTGAGGTCACATTAGGATTTAGTTCTTTGAAGATGACACATAAACTGGAGGAAAGATACATCAAAGTAGCACAGGGGAGCTTATTTTTTAAGACCCTATTAGCAAGTGTGTCCACACTTGATGTATTAAAATAACTTACCTATAATAAGATTAGATGCTAGAACTACTTCATTTCTGACAGATTACTACTGGCAGACTGAGACATATTAAATGCTGTGAAATAGCTGTCTGTTTTCACATGTCAATGAGAGAAAGGGGTGAGGGATTTAAAACAGAGATTTCCCCAATGTTTCCACGAGGCTCAGTGGTTTAGTTATGGATCTACCAGGGAATACACTTCAGTAAGAAAAGAGTTCATATTTTAATATGTACACCAGCCCTCTATGAAGACATTTAGGAAACTTTTTTTCACCTACAAGTCTGACTAGCCCGCTATCAGATTGTGGCAAATTTATTTGCCAAATGTGTACAGCTGAAACTTGCCATCAACAGCCTGCCTGCCGGAAGAAGAAAATGAAATGCTTGTTCTTTTGTGGGAAGGGAAGGAAGATCGAGAGATAACATTTTGATTCAAAAATATGGTGATAACCTACCGTAAACATTAAAAGATAGTGGTCTGGCCTTTCACCTACATTAGCTTTTGCACACTGCAGCGTTTTCAACCAAGTTTAACCACCCCTGGGCCCAGTGGAATGAATCTGTAACTCGGTGCTCCCTTTCATGAACAGAGGGCGCTTTTAAGTTCTTCAAAAACAAAACCAACACACACACACACACACACACACAAACACACACACACACATTTGCACACGAGTAAATAAAAATCCCCGTGTGAGTGCACAAGTGAAGGAAGAAGTGGTCACTTAATTCTAGGGTTAACCAAAAGAGGGCACCATCTATCCTTCATGTCTCCAGTTACTGTGGTTTCAAAAATACACCCTTCCCCACCCCCATCTACAATGGAAGGGCACCCCATGACCCCTGGCAGTTTTAATTCTATAAGAAGACCCAATTCTGAAATGACACATTATGAAGCACATTGATATGATCATTTATTGCACGATAGATTTCTCCACTTAGAACTCATATTCGTGAAATGTTAACCATTAGGAATAAGTAACATTCACTGTGTCCCTTTGCACAGATACTTGGTTAAGCATTTTATCAGGCACTGAGAAAATTTTCTCTAAGGTAGAGTATAGGCTGCCATTAAATAGCATGGGCAACAAACAAACAAATAGACACAACCTATGGAAATTGATTTTCTATTTATTGGTGTCTCAACTCCAAAGGATATCCATGATGCTAATAGGGGACAGTGGCCCGACTGCCTGAGCAGAGGGACGATACAGTTAAATGCATTTGCGGTATGTGGAAAATGTTTTGAAGCAGGCTTTTATGCCAACTTTGAGTAACAAAAGCCCAATAAATATTCCTTCTCTCAAGAGGGAGGAAAATGAGTACGCTGACACAAATTCATAATGAATCTTCCACGTTCTAGTGCATGCTGTATTACAAGTCTAGAGTGAACGAAGATAAATGGTATGTGGGGGGGTATTGAACACCTTCTTTATATATAATAAAGTTGGTTTCTCCAGGGTGAAGAGGAAAAAATAGTTCTAGGCTCTCAACTGGAAATTTCCTTCACTGCTCTCAGAAATTCACTATACAGAGCACATGGGACTAGGAGACAAGGATGAGGAGGATTTCAATCTGCGGGACAGCTGATAGAAGGAAGAAATGTGACATTTTAGAGAACAATCATTTAGGTGAGCACAGGTCCACCATTCCATCAAAAATACAGGCAGTGAATGGGCTGGGGTTGGGGGAGCATGAGGGGGTCGAGACCCATCATCCTATAACCTTTCAGGTATAGAAAATCAGTCAAAACCAGTCTCATGACAATTTTATGGCAAATGCCAGCTACAATCTGAAATTTTAGCAGCTTGGTCCTTCTCTTTGAGCTCAGTATAATCTAAGAGCCGAGAAAGAGAAAGAACTTCTCTTCCTCACTGTCCCTAGAATCACTCTCCAGGGCAGGGCCGTTGTGCAAGACTCCTAGCCTTGAGTCTTCCCTGGAGAAAACTCAACTGAGGAAACAGCGAGTTCACAAAGATCCGAACTCGATCCTGCCAAGGTACATCAGAGAAGCCGAAACTGGGATTGCGTGGGGCTTGGGGTGGGCTCACCGCAATGCCTCGAATCAAAATTAAACAAGTCACCTTGCAGCCCAGAGCGTACGCATTCCAGAGTGGTCTCTCGCTTCTCCTGCGTGAAGACACCGAGCCCCAGACTTGCCACGGGAGACGGCGGGCTTGGGGGAATGGGGGAAGCCCCTTTGGTCCCCGGAATCCGGTTCCTCTCGAGTCACTTCTCCCACCGAACCACCTGTTACCTTCCAAGCCTAGATTTTCCCGGGGGGTGGTGGGGGGGAGGGAATTACGAAATGAGCCGCAGTCTCCTCCCCAGGACAGGGGCGCTGGATGGGGGTGGGCAGTGGGAAAGAAGGGGTGGGTGGATCCCGAAGGATGGATGGCGGGGAGCTTCAGGTCCCCTCTTGGAAGCTGGCGCCGATGTTTACCCGGCCCGCCGCCTTCAGCCCACTTCCCTCTACCTCCGCGGGAGGAGGAGATGGTTAAAGATTACACCGTGGTCGCGGGCACTTCAAAGGGCGGCGCGGGTAGCCAAAGGTAAAGATAACGTTTCTGGCAGCTCTGAACCTGGCTTGTGGTTGCCACATTTTTAACACTTCATTTTAGAGGGGGAAAAAAAAAAAGAAAAAAAGAAGAAAAAAAAAAAGAAAAAGGTTACATCACAGGATCGTGCAAGGGATGCAGAGGAAGTTCTTTGAAGCTGGGCAAGTTGGGTTTATCCTTGGAGGAAACGTTTTATTTATTTATTTATTTATTTATTTATTTATTTATCTTTAGAAACCAAAAACCGTCCATCTCCACCTGGAACGCGACTGGAGGCAGGTGGGCGGCGCGGACCTAGCGCACGGGTTCCAGACGCGGGTACCCGAATATCCACCCTGCAGGCAAATGATACTCCAGGGCAAATTCGCCCTGGAGCCTCGGGGCTGCGGCGCACCAGCGCTTCCCCGAGGGTGCACTTGAAGTTTCCCCTTGGGGCCCCGAGCGCCGGCATGCTCCCGGCGCCGACACGTGCACCTCCCTGGAGTCCGAACCCGTCGGGCCAAAACGCCCTTTGCAAATTCGTCCTCCCGCGTCCAAAGGAGACGCGAGCCCAGGAGCCCCCTCGGTCTGCCCTTGAGCTAACCTCCCCTTGGCTCCCTTCCAGGAGTGGGGCTGGGAGGATAAACTTACAGGTAGGAGGTGAAGACGCTGAGGTTGGCGGGCAGCTCGGAGAGCCCCAGGTCGGAGCAGTCCACTCTGAGCAGCATCCTGCCGTCTGGCTCGCACTGACAGTGCTCGGGGCATCCCCGCAGCAGCGCGCCTGGCCTCGGGGAGCCGACCCCGGCCGCCAGCTGGAGCAGAAGCGGCAGGGACAGGAGCGCGCCGACCGAGGAGGTGTCCATGGTGTCCGGGCGAGGGACTGCGAGCCGGACGCGGTCAGAGGGCAGCGTCGGGGCTGCCGTGGACCGTGGCGAGCGGGACGCGGCTCGGCGGGCTTCTGCAGCTCAGCCGGCGCCTGCTGCTCCGGCAGCCGCTCTCCAGACCCCCAGCGGGGGCGCCGAGGGGAAATGCGGCGGCGCCCGGCCGTGCCCGCTGTCGCCACGCGGGCCTCCCGAACGGCCGTCGCTGCAGCCACCGAGGGGCCAGAGCGCGCTGTGCTGCCGGCCGCCTGCGCCGTGTGGAGCAGCATCTCCGCTCGCACGCTCGTTTTTTTAAAGCGCTCCAGCCCGAATTGCGCGCCTAGTGACGTCAGCGCAGCCCCGCTTCCCAGGCACCCGCCGCCCGGCCCCACGTTCCCTCCTCCGCTCCCCTCCCTCTCTCCCCCCCAAGTCCCGGGCTGCTGGGCTGCGGGCGGCGCGAGGGGCGGGCGAGAGCTCAGAGCTCCGGCCGTGCCTCCCCGGGGCCAGTTCCCGAGCTCAGCCCGGGGCCAAGGACCAGAGACCCCCCTCATTGCCCTTCCCGTGTCCGAGTGGTCCAGATCCGAGGGGCACAAGAGCCGGGACCGACGATGCCTCACGATTCCTTCCAACCCACAACAAATAATGAATGGGATGTAGGGAATACCTAAGTCAGACAGACACACCGACACAGATGCACAGACACACACAAACACTTGCATTATCGGGCTAAGCTGTCAGGCGTCCCCCCTGCCCTCACTCCCGACACACAACGCGTGGCTCGGATTTCTTTTTCCCCCCTAAAATCAAAACTCTGCGGTTTATCGCCAAAAGAAATCCAGCAATGAGCAAGCACTCCAAAGGCCGCCTTCGAAATTCGTGGTAGGTGAGGAAGTCGTAGGAATTATTTCTCTTTAGTGTTTTAGGAACCTCTGGAAGTCACCTTCAGTAAAATGATGCGCATCAGACAGAGAGATGGTTCTTTGCTCTTGTGGGGGGACTGGGGTGGGATGAAGGGAGTCCAATCAGGTGCCTTAGAGTTCTCCCCTGATTGCAGTCCTTGGAGTCAAGAGGCTCTGGGCTCTGGACAACCATTGCCTAAGGCGGGTGCAAAAGGCCTGTCTCACTTCCAGGAGTCCTTCAGCAATACATGATTTCACTCATCTAAAGAAACCAGGCAAATGGACTAAAGAAATAAAACGAACTTTTGGATACAGAAAACAGATTGGAGGTGACGAGAGAAGCACTGGGCCGGGGTTGGGAGAAAGAGGGAGAGGGGTTGACTCTGTAGCGGATTGAATGCAACCTAGACTTCCGGATTGTGATCATTACCAGAGCGCACAGACGTTTAAGCGCAACGCTGGACACCAGACACCAGAAAGGCAGTAGCCTACGTTCCAGCGATTCTATACATGTGCCCTAAAGTCGCCATACAGGAGAAAGGAGCTAAAGGACCTGGGATTTCTTGGATCACAGGCCCCAGCATGATCTGGGTGTCCCCTTACAGATCTGCGTGTGAGGATGGAAGAATTCCATCCACGAACACTCACAACACATCCTTTCACCCGGTCTTTAGGACTCTTTGCCCTATGGAGGCAGAAAACCCTCCACCGTTTAAGACTCCTCTTTATCTTCCACTTAGCCTGTCCTCATGAACTTCCCATATAAACGTCTGGATTTTGCAGTTTTTGCAGTTAGGGACATTTGGTTTCTTTTGGATCTAAATCTGTATTCTGAGTACACTCTTTCCTTGGGTGAATTAAGTTGGAGATTCTCTGGATTAGATGGAGGGATGTAGTGGCAAGTTTTATTTATTCAATCTTTTTCATTTTGAAAATAAAAGGAAACGTGACTCAGATTTGGGACAGCTTGGCGGCAACTACTGAAGATTATAAAGTAACCCAGGTTTCTGGATAGCACTGCAGTGTCCAATTAATTCCTGGATGCATAACGCATCCATTGTCATCTCTTCGCTTATTCTCACATAACTCATTTCTCACAGCCATTCCTTCCACACTAATGCAATGTTACTGCTACGCGCGCGCGCACACACACACACACACACACACACACACACACACACACACACAGGCGTGCACGAGCACTCACGCACAACAAAACTGAACAACTATGCACAGATTACTTATCTTTTAAGTGCAATCCAAGATTTAGTCTTTTTTGTATGAACCTCCCAGCATACATAAAATATTACATGATTGCTTGTAGAACAACTATGGTTGGGATACAGCAGTGATGTAGAGCTAGGGCTCTGAAATACTTTCTTGGCTTCTTGGACATTTGCATATCTTTAACATAAAAATTTGTAAGTCTACAACTGTACTGTTAACTGTACCTCATAGTGTCTCACTAATAAAAATTAAAAAAATTTAAAAAAAGAAATTCCATGAAATTAGTTCTCTTTATGGTGTTTACAGACTCTGAACAGGAATCTCAATGAATGATTTGTTATAAATATCTTATATTTTGACCTTAAAGTTTTCCTGGATGTGTATTTCTTTTGTATTGTGATATCTTTGAAGGAAGAGATCATGTCTTTTCTTTACCTGAAGGACTCATATTAAGACTCCTCCATTGAAGAGGGCATTTAAATAGTTATCAACTTAGTTTGGAATGTTACTCAGCTTTGTATGTGTGAGGCCCTAAGTTTGATTCCAAGCACCCCAAAAAGAAATCCAAATATGGTTGTGTCCCTACTATCTAAGGACTTTAAGCAGTATTTCTTTGACTTTAGTGTGACTTTAAAAAGCATAGCAGTATGGGTGTGAAATGAATTTGCATCTAGATTTGTCAGTTTCAGTGCAGGCTGTTTGATCCAAGGTATAAAATTAATCTACCTTTCTTTCCTTTCCTTCCTTCCTTCCTTCCTCCCCTTCTTTCTTTCTTTCTTTCCTTCCTTGTTTCCTTTCTTTGTTTCTCCTTTTTTTCTTTCTCTCTTTTTGCAATGCTCATAAGTGCTGAGAGTGATGCAGGATTCAGTGGCCACTCCCAGCAGGAGACCATGTGATGCTGGGGATTGAACCCAGGAGTTTCACATACAAAGCAGATACACCAACAATTTGAGTCATGTCCCCGATATCCAGTGAGACTTCTACATCTCAATTTTCTTTTCGGGAGAAAGCAGGTATTATCCCCACCTAGCTTGTTTTACATCGTAAAAAGTCTAAAACTTGACTGAAGTCTCCCCTGTATTTTTTTCCAAGGAATCTGATTAACAAATTCATGTAGAGAAAATTCAATAAATGACTGAATAAGTATAATGAGCATCTGTTACTCCCTCCCTAGCCCCTCTGCCCAGTTATTTGCATATCTAATATTTTTCTTCTCCCCTTTTGGTTAAGTTCACTCCACAGCTTTCTCCTTTGAAAGTCATCTCCCAAATTTTAGGTAATTCTGAGAGAGCTGTTATTTATATATCTCTGTTCCACTATCCCTAGGGGAAGTATGTGAACAGAAGAGAGTAATCTATATCTCTTTGTAGGATTTTCACAGTATTGGGCAATACTGTCCTTTGACTTCTTGAGTTCCAAGGACAAGAAAAACCTAGGGCTCCCATTGTGTCTGTTGACAAACCTCATCAGGGATGGAACATTAGCATTAGCAAGGAGCAAAGTAAATTCCTAAAATCATATTTAATTACTTGAATCTATAAATTCAAAATAGATGAAATATCTAAATATAAAACCTCAAGTTTGATTAATGATCTTAGAAGGAAACTTAGGGGTAAATTTTGTGATATCAAGTTTGGCAATGAATTTTCAGATGTGAAACCGAAAGCATGATTAACAACTAGAAAAAAATTGGAATTCATTAAATTTCTTTTAAATGTGCACCAATGAAAATCATTGTCTTGGAAGTGGGAAACATCTACAGAAATAAAAAAAAATAACCGAAGATTAAGGACTGGTTTCTTTATATAAAGAACACTTGCAACTTAGTAACTAAAAGACAAACAACCCAATTAAAAATATGCCAAGAACTTGACTGAGATCTTTTTAAAAAAAGATGTGCAAGTAGCCAACAAGCACAAGAAAGTATTTCAGCATTGTTAGTCATTAGCAAAATGAGAATCAAAGTCACAATGTGACGTCTCTTTAAACCCATTAGAAGTCTCAGATTTTGAAATGGGGAAAGGGTGTGGATAAAAACAAGTGTTAGGATATGACAAATTCAGAAACTTCATATTGTTGGTAGAAAAGCAAAATAGTACAGTCATTATAGAAAACTGTGAAGTGGTTTCTCAAAAAATTTATGAGAATAACCACATGACCCAATAATTTTATCCCTCAGTTTATACATCCTCAAGTTGGAAACTGGTATTCAAATATTTGGACAAAATATTTATAGCAGCACTGTTCACCACAGACAAGGATGGATACAATTCAATTTCCATCAAAGGATGAATAATTAAGTGGGGGTCGGGGTAATAGGCAGAAGTTGTTGTTAATGATTATGTGGTTTCCATTGGTAGAGATGAAACTGCTTTGTAACAGAATTGATGTTTGTACAAGATACTGAATGTACTTATTCTATTGAATTATAGTTTAAAATGATAAATTTTGGCAGGTATAGTGTGTAGCAGACGCCCTACCCGCTGTGCTATCGCTCCAGCCCAGCACAGCGGGTAGGGCGTTCGCCTTACAAGCGGCCAACATGGCCGACCCAAGTTCGATTCCTCCGCCCCTCTCGGAGAGCCCGGCAAGCTACCGAGAGTATTCGATATGCCAGACACAGTAACAACAAAGTCTCCAATGGAGACGTTACTGGGCCCGCTCGAGCAAATCGACGATCAACGGGAGGGCCTTTACCTTTACCTTTATAGTGTGTAGCAACATGACCGACCTGAGTTCGATTCCTCTGCCCCTCTCGGAGAGCCCGGCAAGCTACTGAGAGTATCTCGCCTGCACGGCAGAGCCTGGAAATACCCGTGGTGTATTCGATATGCCAAACACAGTAACAACAAAGTCTCCAATGGAGATGTTACTGGGCCCGCTCGCGCAAATCGATGAACAACGGGAGGACAGTGACAGTGACAGTGACAGTGTGTAGATACAGATGTAGAGATATGAAGGTATACTCCTAAAACTTATACAGTATGTAAACCAATGGCCTCTCAATAAAATAAACATTTTAAAAAATCTTAGAGGAAAAAAAGACACCTGCATTAAGAACTATGTCTACTATTCCATCACCTCCAAATTGGCTAAATGACTCAACTTGGTTTTACTGTTTGAAGTAGTGAATAATCATTTCCAATCAAGAATGCTCAGTGAAAGTTTAAAAGCACAGTTAACATGAGTAT